CATGTGTGTATATACACATAATTAAGTGGAGATAAAGAGAGGGTCTTTAGAGACCACAAGTTAAACAACTGGTACTTCAAACTGGAGATATCTTTTATAGCTTTCAAAATAGGAGAAAGATAATTCAGCTCATTGACCTGCATTTAATTATATCATATTTTTGAAATTGGCAACATGGTTGAGGAAGAGCAGTAAAAAGAAAACCTGAAAGATGTAGAACATAGACATTCTTTTACTCTATCAACCACACTGAGGGTCTAATTAAATAATGGCTCCTATTTTAATATGTACAGGAAATTTTACCTCTTCTACTATGCAAACTGTTTGAAATCATTGAACAGCAATCTTAATAAAACCTCTCAAAGTTCTAAAAGCATTGCTGTACAACATTTGTCAAAATGATGGCATTTTTCAGAGCGTTGCAATCATACTAATTATAACATTCTTAATAGGGATGATGGAAGGGGATTCATTTTGGGACACTCTTCGGGACCAGGTTCTGGGCAAGCCATCTGAAGAAATCAAAGAATGCCATAAACCAAAGCCAGTCCTTCTTCATACTGGAGAGGTAATGCATTTGGATTATCATGGTGAAATTAGTATATTGTTATTTTTAAATTTATGAATTGTCAGATATGAATAGGTCCATGTTGAATAGTAGATCTGTGTATTATACAAATGTTTCCAAATCAAAATTTTAATATTAAAAATATGGATGCCATAAGTTTAACTCTAAAGAGGTAAGGGGTATGATTATTTAAATATACTGACTTAGGTGTTTACATCCATAGTAAATAACTGAAACAATTAGAACAGAGGAAAAGGAAGAATAAGATTAAGATTTATGAGCACAGAATTCCTCACAGAGAAAGACATCTCAGGTTATTTTTCACAACTCAGGCAACATTATTAACTAAAGCAATATTCTTTAAGTACCCTTTGGAACATGGATTTTCATATTCATGCCAGTGTTTGTAATACCATGAATTTTTGATGTAGGAACAATTTTTAAATACAGTTTTTTGCTAACATTTACTTAGAAATTCTTCAAGAAGGAGAGGAAATGAAGGAATAGAAGGAAAGATTCTATGCTAATCTGAACATGGTAACGGATACACTCTCTTGGAGAAGAAAAGTAAGGCAAGACTTGGTAACTGAAGATTTAAAGTGCTAGTTAGAGCAAAAAAAGAAATAATTAAGTTATTCTAAATGATGGTAATTCCTTATTTGTCTTGTATAGGGATAGTCACCATGGTAATATAGGAGAACCTTGGTTATCTATTACACATTGTGATACCATAAAGATAAAGCCACCAAAAACTTCATTGATGAAAAAATAATTCCGAGTTAATGGGACACTGGTATTTGAAATTCACATATTAATACTAGACAGAATATTTAATACTGCATGACTTGGAAAAAAATCTGTGACTGTGTAGGATTAAGACACCCCAAACAACTGGAAACATTTAATATCCAATAACAAAGGAAATTCTGTGAGCAGCATTGGTCTCTTGAGCAAAGAGACTAATATTCTTAACACAGTTTTCATGCTTTTGGTTCTCAGCTATTAAAACCTCATCCCTGGCACCCAGATATTGTTGATGTTCAGATTGTTACTCTTGGGTTCTTGGCTATCACTGCCATCCCTGGGGAGTTCACGTAAGTTCCTCTTTTTTATTTTGTGAGATTTTTATGGTAGTTGTAGATGTGTTTCTGTTGGAATCACTTCTTATCATACAGATAACCCTGTACTGACTCTTTTGTATCCTACTGTGCTACGTATGGCAACAGTGACAAATATTCCTAACCCTCTTTTGGTGGGGCCTCTGAAGAATAAACCTCTTTATGCCTCTCACTAGTGGGTATCTTGAAGTAAACATAAAAATTTGAGAAGTTATCATTCCAGATTAAAATTATGCAGTGACTTATTATGTCAGCAGAAAGACTTTAAATAATATTAAAATACAGGAACATGAAACAATCAGTTTAGGTATTAGAAGCCTGGAAACATGTTTTAAATTTGCTCTTTATGCCATATTTCCTGTCTTAGTAGGTAGCAATTTTGTATCTTTCCATTGCTCGGGGCCTAAATCTCAGTCATCCCTGAATTCTTTTTCAATTTTCCCTGCTTTAAATCCCTCAGCAAATTCTGCGTGTTCTCTTCAACACTTCCCATCATTCTGCACCCCCCCTCCCCCGTACCTCCTCCCCACGTGTCTAAGTCACCATTGCTCTCCCCTGGATTACTGCAATAACCTTCTCACTTTCTTGCCTCTCCCTACTCCTGTGTAGTCTTTTCTCAACGTTATAGCCAGAGTTATCCCTATAAAGCATAAGTTAAATCATGTCACTTATCATAACCTTTCAATAGCTTCCCAACTCTCCAGATAAACCCTCACACCCTTATAATATCGAGCAAGGCCCTCTGCGATGCTCTCTTCAGCAAACTGTCTGATCTGATTTTGTACCACTCCGTACAAAATTGATTTGCCTCAATCACACCTGCTGCAGCCACCTTGGTTCCACTGTAATTCTCAGACTACCAAGCATGCTCCTGTTTTAGAGCTTTTGAACTTAAACAGCTCCTTCTACCTGCAACACTTACCTTCCATATATCTCCATGGCCAACTCTTTCATTCCTTCATTGCTCTGCTGAAAACTCTAACAGAGATGCCAGTCCTGCTTACAGTACGTAACATTGTTTTCACCCACCACTGCTACCAGCACCATTATATCGCTACCACCATCACCACAATGACTGCCACCATCCTCTCATCCTTATCCTACCTTATATTCTCCATTGCACTTATTGTCATCTCACTTTTTTATTTTCTATTGACCATCTTCTCTTCCAAGAATGTAAGCTCCATATTGTTGAGGCCTCAGCAATTTGAAGTGGATCTGGTATAAAGTTAGTAGCTCAGTTGTGTCCCCATGTACTGTAATCCCCCAGGCTCTTCTGTCCATGGAATTCTCTAGGTAAGAATAATGGAGTGGATATCCATTCCCATCTCCAGGGGATTTTCCTGATGCAGGGATTGAACCCAGGTCTCCTGCATTGCAGGTGGTTTCTTTACCATCTGAGCTAAATAAATGAATGAAACATAAGTTCTCTGTAGGCAGGAATAGTACTCTCTACTTGCCTCAGCTCTTATTAACATAGAATGTAACCAACTGTTGACTCAGTAAATGGAAGACAATTGTGATCTTCTGCCAGTGATATTCACTTCTGTTTTCCTCCTTCAGCTTGTCTGGTTTTGGTTTAGGATTTATTTTGAAGATAGGGCAGTGTGGAAAAAAGCTCAACTAGAACTTGTGTTGTTTCTACACACTTTACTATTCTATACACTTTACTGCTGTGTAGCCAGGCTAACTTTTTGGCTTTCATTCCAAGTCTGTGTACCTTGCATACATTCTGAATAGGAAGCCACTTAGATAATTCTGTTTTCTTGATTCAGGACCATGTCTGGACGAAGACTTCGGCAGGCAGTTCAAGAAGTAAGTTACAAATGAAATAATATACCTATGCATTTTTATTTGGAAAAGAGAAGAATTCCCTATCCTTATGATCTGATACCTTTTAAATTAATCTTTGCTAAGATGATAAGAGTTTTACACTTCTTGAAAGTAAAGGCTGGAGGTGAATATGAAATATTGATGGCATAAGAATAAACTTAAAAATATAAAGGAAATATAGTAGGATTAAAATATTTTATTGGTATTTATGTACTAATAATTTAAAATTGATGAGTTTTATGGATTCAGTAGTAAATGACCCCAAGTACATTAATATCTTAAAGTCCTATATAAAAAATCTAACACATGTTGAAAATTATGTATTTTATCTATATTTGCGATTTTCTTTATTTCAGAAAGTATTGTCAATGGTTCTAAAATGACATAATCAGCATTAATTAATTAACATAATCCATAATTATTTGGAGCTGGAAATAGCTACTGTGGCTAGCTAATAATGCTCCCTTTAGACTTTTTAGGAAATTGATAAAAAAATCTATATTTTTAGTAATAAGTTTCTGCATCAGCAAATACAATTATTAGGATGTTCATAGGTCCATTGACTTGCCAGACTGGAATGCAGAATTAAGCCTTTTAACTTTTCACCGAGGACTCTCTGATTCTCCTGTATTCCTGGGCAATTTTGATCATTGGGAAAGATATTAAGATAGATATGTTACAATAAAAATTCATATTGATAATTGTATGTTAAATATAACAAAAATTATAATACACTTTAAGATGAAGAGTAATTTTATTGCACTCTCCCTTTTGCCCTAGGAATTTGAAGCTTATGGGATGCTGAATATGACTGTTGTTATTTCAGGTCTATGTAATGTATACACACACTACATTACCACATATGAAGAATACCAGGTAAAGTAAAAGTTCTCATCATTTAAATGAATTATATCCTGGTCAAGACGATTGCATCAAATGCAGATTTTCCTTCTGGACTTCCTTAATCATGTTTTTTGAGAGATGATTTTGTTTTAGAGCAGGTAAGAAAAGGATAAGCCAGAGGTCATATTTGGGAGTTCTAGGTTGACCATTTCTAAGTTCAGTTGAGAATTCTAGTCTCATTGACTTCCACTTTCCCTGAAATAAATTACCTGGTCAAGGGCACGGGTAATGAGCCTGGGTTATGGCATACAACATTTCTACCTCGATCCATAACGCTTTTGGTGCCTTAAGCTTCTGTAGAACCTGAGAAAATGCCCATTGGCAACTACTATCTAGTGAAAGCACTGGCTAAGCACCTTGCAAATGTGATTTTATGTAATCCTCTCAATTAACCCTGACTGAAGTAGGGTATTGTTATAGCATGATCCAAATTAAGAAACAGAGCCTCAAAAAATTAGGGAGGCTGCTGACTGGTGATGTTTTTATTTTGTTTGTTACAAATAGTACAAAAAGTAGCCTAAGTACTTTTAAACACCAGTAGCTAAAAACATGAAAACAGGATAGAAGTCCATACTTACTCGTTTCTAATACATCTGAGGTATAACTTGGCAATTCATAGCGTGGCACACAGGCTGCCTCTTGACAAATGCTCAGTAATTCCAGCAGTGGAGTCTGCCCTGCTGCCCTCTTTTGACTTTACTGAAGGTCCATGCCTTTGAGGAATTCCTGTTGAATAAAGGTTCTTAATTGCGATAAACTTAGATGAAGAATAATAAGTTAGATGAGAATAATTCCATTTTTGCCTTTATCTGTAACTGTAATTTAGCATTGGAGTAGGAAATGGCAACCCACTCCAGTATTCTTGCCTGGAAAATTCCATGGACCAAGAAGCCTGATGGGTTATATAGTCCATGGTGTTGCAAAGAGTCAGATATGACTGAGCACGCTCATATGTTATTTAGCACTTCTTTTAATTGTGAATGTAGGCAACAAGTGACAGTAATATCAGTACTATGACTTTTGTCACCAATAGGAACCATGAATATTTTTATATCACACATAGTAACTGCATATATGGAAATATCTTTTATTCTCATTGAAAGTGAAAGTCACTCAGTTGTGTCTGACTCTGCAACACCATGGACTATACAGTCCATGGAATTCTCCATGGACTGGAGAATACTGGAGTGGGTAGTCATTCCCTTCTCCAGGGGATCTTCCCAACCCAAGGATCAAACCCAGGTCTCCTGCATTGCAGTAGATTCTTTACCAGCTGAACCACCAGGAAAGTCTTTTATTCTCATTGCTATTTTAAAATCACAGTAGTTATTAGATCTCCTACAAGATCTTGTTATTCAAGGGCATCACACAGAAACACAAACATTGCTCTGTCACAAAGCTAGTTTATTATTTGATTTCATTTAATAGGTTTTCTTTGTCTACCCATGTATTTTATTTTATGTGTTTAGAAACATTACTCTTAGAGGGGTCTATAGGCCTCAACAGGCTGCCAAAGCAGACCATGGAACAAATAGTTGGAAACCCCTACTAGCTTGTCTCCTGATTAGGGACATGCAAAAATTAGTATTAATTAATTAATTGATTTATTCACTCATTCATTCAGCAGATGTGTTTTGTGACAGATATTGTATTAGCCACTATCTGGGCATGACAGTGGTTATGAATCTGCTCCTGCCTCCAAGCCCACTAGAATTTATGGGTCAGTAAAAGACATAAAAGACATAGAAGAAAGCAGATGACTCCATTTCTGTGAAAGAGATGCACAGGGTGTTATGAAAACGAAGAGAAAGAGCATCAATTTAAACTGGGTGTTTGACATTGGGGATGGGCAAATTTTCATGAAGATACAGTGTTTGTCCAAGTTCTTGAGAATGAGTAAGGACTGATTAAGCAAATATAATGAAAGCTAATGGAAGGTGTTCCATATTGAGGGATTACATATGCAAAGGTCCAGAGGGGCAGGCTTAGTATATTTAAGGGGCTGCACTTAGCTGAATACACTGGGATAAACATGAGGAGGGTAATGAGATGGGCTAAAGTGGGAGGCAGGGGTTAGTCAATGGAGAATCTTCTGTGGTGTCACAGAGCTCTGACTCAATAAGGAGGATTTTAGGGCACTGTAGCCAAATTCAAAGGAAGGAATGCTCTGATTTAGAAAGCTCACTAGGATGGCAGTGTAGAAAATGAATTGGAAGGGCAAGTGTGGAGGCAGATAACGAACTGAAGAAGAAGCTATAGTTATGATCTGGGTGAGAAGTAAGGGTTTGACCAAGGTAAAAGCAGTAAAGAAAGAGGAAAATGAAAGAATTCAAGAGGATTTTAAGGAATGATGACTTGGAGACTTACAGGATGACTGCCAGACGATCCTGGCATAGGCTTCACTGAGATGAAGAATGTTGCAAGGAAAGCGGATATATTTGGAGGGATAAGTTCCATGTTAGATTTGATGAATTGAAGGTTTCTGTGAATAACCAAATCTTTGGACCGCAGGTGAAAGGAGATGTATTTGGTTTTATTTTGTATTTCTGTGATGGTTAAATGGGCTTCCCAGGTGGCTCAGTGGTAAACAATCTGTCTGCTGATGCAGGAGATGTGGGTTCAGTCCCTGGGTCAGGAAGATCCCCTTGAGAAGGAAATGGAAACCCACTCCTGTATTCTTGCCTGGGAAATCCCAGGGACAGAGGAGCCTGGCAGGCTACATACAATCCATGGGGCCGCAGAAGAGTCAGACATGACTTAGCAACTAAACAACAACAAGAAGGATGGGTTAAATGTCCTTTTCCAGATAGTCCTATAACCATCCAATTTATTCAGGATGATTTCTTTCAAATAAATCCCTCTTTCAAATAAAATGGATTGACTGTCCAAATGGCATGAGCCAAGAGAATTCATTGCCTTTAACAAATAGTTGATGGGAACCATTTACTTCAGCTGGTAAATGGAAATGCTCACCCTCCTTTATCATAATTAGTTTTGAATAATGTCAGTTTGGATTATGCAAGATGTCCAGTCATCACCTGTCACTAAAATGCAACACCTGCAAATGGATCGAACTCTGCAGAATGGTGAACAGCTCTGCCCTACCTCTCCTGCAGGCTCAGCGGTATGAGGCAGCATCCACAATTTATGGACCACATACTCTGTCTGCCTACATCCAGCTTTTCAGAGTCCTTGCTAAGGCCATTGCTACGGTAATCAAAAATTGTATGTTTGTATGTCTCAGGAGTGGGGAGATGAAGAAGGAAGCAAAAAATACCTTCACTTTGAGTATTCAGTTCCTTTAAAAATCTTTATATTTAAAAATATTATAGTTGTGAGGTATCTCTAAAAATTGAAACTGATAAAATTAATTGAGTCAGTTAGTCATCTTTTGGTGGTGACCACTTTTTTCATATATATTATCTCATATTATTCATGCAGTCATCATGTGAAGTATAGAGGTATCATTTTCCCCCATTTTTCAGATGAGCAAATAGGTTCAGAGATGAGAAGTGATCAAGCTTACTATAACTGGAAGTTGAAACAGTGCTCCCTATCCTGGTCAGTTTCTCTCCATTTGCTTCATGAATTGAGTGGTTTATTCATTCTGACATGTCCATTTTCTGTATTAGAACATCTCTGAAATTGGGATGTATCTTCCAATCAAAGGAATCTTACAATTATACATTAGCATGTTTTTACTTTCTTGGTGGTTCAAAAATAATAATAGTTATTATAATCAATAGAGCGTTAAATTTGATAAAGTATAAGAGTTGTCTTCAAATGTACATATACATTGTATCTGGCTAAAATATGTATACCTAAAATATGTACACCTAAATGAGTTTATTTAAAGAAACAACACTCGTGTAAATCTTACCTTGGTATATAGTTTATATACAAAGGTGCATTCTGGTGGCAGAACATTAGTCAATATGCAGGATGACGACTTTAAAATAATAAATGATCCTTGTATAATACCACATAAGACCCAAAAGGCTATGAGGCAGGGATGGCATAGCCAAGACAATAAAGCCCTTTCAAAGAAAGAGCTTGGATATATCAAATTGAAACAAAACTGCTATTTCTGTAGGCCAAAACAGTGAAATATTGGAAATTTCATATGCCTCCACCTAATTAGCTATTGACTGTGTATTTGAAATCTCAGTAGAAGGAATCTACTTTAAGATATATGGGGTTGGCCAAAAAGTTCATTCAGGTTTTTGTAACGTCTTGTGGAAAAACCTGAATAAACTTGTTAGCCAACCCATTATCTTAATTAACTGATTATTATTGCATCACAATATGCCTTTCAATTTTAGATCTGATACTTTATTTTCAATTATTTTTAGTTTTTATCATAAAACCTGTACCTATTTGTAGAATATTCAGATTATAAAGATATGTATAAACCTACAAGCCATCTCTAGAGATAACCACTGTTTAACTTTCATGCAATTACAGGTTTATAGTGCTTCCCATAGAAATAGAGGCATCACATTTTATAGTGATATTTAGGAAGTGTGATTCACTTCACAGAAATTTGTTTCAGAATTTTATGGTTATGTGTCTAAGAATATCTATGTGATCTTGGGCAAAAATACCACCGAGTATATGCAAACCTATTTTCCCATTTGCAAAGTGGGAATGATAATGAGTAGATTATATGGCTGGTGTAAAGATTAAGTATATAGAGCAAGGATTAAAGTATATTAAATACATATGAAGGGCTATTTAAAATTTGAGATTATAATTTTGATGACACTATTAAAGGTGACACATTTTATGGAAAACATAGACTAAACTGGGTATGTTATAGGCTGGTCTTAACTTTTAAATTAAAACTATATTTGTTATATTCATTAATTAGCACAGAGAAGGATTTAGGAAAATACTTGGTAGTGACTTTGGATAAGAGAGACTTAACACTTTTTAAACATTTTAAAGAATGATTACAATGTCATGTCACAGAGGCTGACCACGTGTTCATATTCAGAGTCATACATGTAAAGAATGGTTGTCCCAGAGTGTAAACTCATGTAGCATGATTCCTAGCTTATACTCAGATTATACTGACGAGTGGAGTGGAAGTGTTTCCTGTGACCGAAATGTTCTTCTGTCACAAAAGTTAAAATTATGGACATCTAGGCTCCTATTTCAGCAAAGTTCCCCTCATATTTTGTTACAGTTGTTAGCTTTTGGGAAGAGAGAGAAAGAGTGAAAATGAATGTGTGTGTGTGTGTGTGTGTGTTCCAATGAAGACATTTTGAGGGGGGTGTGGTCAGGGGAAAAGGTCCCCCTCTATATTGTACACCCCTTAAGCAAATGCTCTCTGTTCTAGGGTACTGTAGCCAATCTGAGCAGTGGTCCAGAGCCTCCATTTTTTGAAGAACTGATGTCTCCGTTAATTCCAAATATTGTGGATAGAGTGCCTTCAGGCACAACTTTTGGGGATATCCTGCTGCCAGCGAACGCTACATACAGAGTGGTAAGGCTTGCAAAGGAATCTTGGGATCCTTCTGAAACCTATATTTGAAGATGGGGTGGGGGGGAAGATGTTGTTTAAAAGTCACCACCTGCCTTGAGTCATGCCACGGACCAGTTGTTAGCAATGATTTTGAAAATTGTTCTTATCTCTTCAGATAAGAATGAGAATGGGGAAGTATTTATTTTTTGGATGGCAATTTTGGAAAAATTGAATTTCTAAAATTCAAATTATTCTTTTTTTCTTTTAAAGAGATAGGCATGGAATCATTCATTGCAGCATAGAAAAGTGGTTTCTTAAGTCAAGGGTAGGAAAACACATAGAAATGAAGCAGGTTTTCTACCACTAGTACTTTATATAGATCTTGTGTCTTGTAACTTTGCTAAACCATTTATTAGTTTCAATAGATTTTTTTTTGGTGTGGATTCCTTAGAAATGCCTATGTATAGTATGTCATCTGTGAATAAAAGCAGGTTTACTTCTTTTTGAATTTCTTTTCTGGATACCTTTTATTTTTTTTCCTTATTGCATTGGCTAGAGTCTCCAAAGCAATGTTGAAAGGAAGTTGTAAGAATGGACATCTTTATCTTGTTCCTAATTTTAGGAGGAAAAGTATTCAGTTATTAACTATAATGCTTTCATTAGAATTTCTGTAGATACCCTTTATTAGGTTAAAAAATTCCCTTCTATGTCTAGTTTGTTGAGAGTTTTTATGAAGAAATGGTGTTGACTTTCTTCCAAATGCTTTTCTGTGTCTACTGAGATGATCATGTGGCTTTTGTTTTTTTTTATCTATTAATAGGGTATATTTTATTAATTGATTTTCAGATATTCAATAAATACCCTTTAGTCATGGTATACAATACTTTTTACATGTTGTTAAATTTGGTTTAACAACATGTGGGCTTCCCTTGTAGGTCAGTTGGTAAAGAATTTGCCTGCAATGCAGGAGACCCAGGTTTGATCCCTGGGTTGGGAAGATCCCCTGGAGAAGGAAATGGCAACCCACTCCAGTTATCTTTGCCTGGAAGACCCCATGGACAGAGGGGCCTGGTGGGTTACGGTCCATGGGATCACGAAGAGTTGGGAACAACTGAATGACTAACACTTCATGACTAACTCTTCACAAATTTGGTTTGCTAATATCTTTCTAAAGAATTTTGTACTCATGTCTATGAGGGGCATTTGTAGTCTTCCTTTCATGTGTTGTCTTTGCTCTTGCTATCAGGGTAATACTGGTATCAAAGAAGGAGTAGGAAGTGTTTCCTCTCATATTATCTGAAAATGTATGCAAAAGATTAATATTATTTCTTCTTTAAATATTGGATCAGATTTACCAGCAAAGTCATTTAAATTTGGGTTTCTCTTTATGGCAAAATTTTAAATCAGTAATTCAATTTCTTTACTCGATTTAGGCATATTTAGATGTTATAATTTTTCTTAAGTCAGTTGTATATCTTTCTAGCAGTCTAATTTGTCATTAAGAATTTTCCCATTTCATATACTTGTTAATGTGTTGGGATAAACTCATTCATAACATTCCCTTATAATTTTTTAAATTCTTGTAAGGTCAATAATGATGTCCCCTCTTTCTTCCTGGTTTTGCTGACTTGTGTTTTCAAAGAGCCATCTTTTAACTTCATTGATTTTATCTGTTGTTTTTCTATTTCATTGATTTTTGCTCTAGTGTTTAATTTCCTTCCTTCTGCCTGCTTTGATTTTATTTTGCACTTCTCATTTCTTAAAGTGGATGCTTAGGTTATTTTTATGTGTAGTGTCCTTTTATAAATTCCTCTGTTGGTTTTTTTTACTATGTATATTTTTAGCTATTTTCCTGATATTAGGGACTTGGAAAAGAACTTTTTCTGGTCTTAACCTTCCACTCTGGATACTTCTGACAGCAATTGTGTGGAGGTTCCCCCCATAGTAATTGTGTGAAGGTTCTCCTATTCCCTGTGGACACCAATTTGATGCTTACAAACCAATTCTGATGTTATTTACTTGGAGTTAAGGGCTCAGTGGGCTTGCCTCGTGGCTCAGATAGTAAAGAATCTGCCTGCACTGCAGGAGACCCAGGTTCAATCCCTGGGTTGGGAAGAGCCCCTGGAGAAGGGAATGGCTACCCCACTCCAGTATTCTTGCCTGGAGAATCCCATGGACAGAGGGGCTGCAAAGAGTTGGACCCGTCTGAGCTACTAACACTTTCACTGTTTTTTGTTTTGTTTTTTTTTTTCACAAAGGCTCAGTCCCACAAGATAGCACCCTGCCTTTCCACTTCCCCCCATACACACATATTTCAGACACCAATGGTAAATCCAAGTTGTCACCTGTGCTTCTAACAGCCTGGTTATAAATTGAAGATTCTCTGGCTATAAATTGGAGATTCTCCTCCTCAGGTTTAATAACTTGCTAGAACAGCTCACAGAACTTTGGAAAATAGTCTACTTACTAGATCACCAGCTGATTATAAAAGGTTACAACTCAGGAACAACCCATGGAAGAGACACGTAGAGCACGGTATGGGGCAAGGAATGCAGAGCTTCTCCAGGCATTCCACCTTCCAGAACCTCCGCGCGTTCACCAACCTGGAAACTGTCTGAATCCCATGCTTCAGGGACTTTTGTGGAGGCTCCCTTACCTGGGCATGATTGACTAAATTGGCCATGTGTGGTTAACTTGCCCACTCTTTTCCCTCCCTGGAGATCAGGGAGTAAAGTAATTAGCCTCCAACTAATAAAAATAAATGGAAAAAAAAAAAGAAAGTTCTAACTCTCTAATCACATGGTTTGTTCCCCTGACAACTGACTCCCATTCTGAGGTTATGCAGAAGCCCCCAGCCACCAGTCATCTTATTTTCATCCAGAAAGACACTTTAGTAGAGATTTTACAGCCTTCTCCACTCTGGTTGAACTATAGTACCACAGAGGATAAGCACAACCCTGGTAAGAAAACAAAAAATTTGTACTGTGCTTACCCTAAGTTTAGTTGTTTTAATGAACAAACATTTCTCAGTTTGCAGTTATTTGAAGTGCCAAAATGGTTGTTTTTAGAGTTACATGTGATCCAGCAGTCCCACTTTGGGAGTATATCCAGAGGAAACTCTGATTTGAAAAGATATATGCCCCTCAATGTTCATAGCAGCACTATTTACAGTGGCTAAGGCATGGAAGCAACCTAAATGTCCTTCAACAAATGAATGGATAAAGATGATGTGGTGTATATAATATACAATAAAAACTACTCAGCCATGAAAAAGAGTGAAATAATGCCATTTGTAGCAGCATGGATGTACCTAGAAATTATCATACTGAGTGAAATGTGTCAGACAGAGAAAGACAAATTATGGTATCACTTATACATGGAATCTAAAATATGATACAAGCAAACTTACTTACAAAACAGAAACAGACTCATAGCCGTAGAAAATAAACTTTTGGTTACCAAAAGGGAAAGGGATGCGGGAATAAATTAGGAACTTGTGATTAGCAGATACTAACTACTATGTAGAAAATAAACAATAAAGTTCCACTGTATAGCACAGGGAACTATATTCAATATCTTTTAATAACCTATAATATCCTAAAATGAAAGGAATATGAAAAAAATATATAATTGAATCACTGTACACCAGAAACAAACATAACATTGTAAACTGACTATATTTAAAAAAAAATAAAATTTAAAAGTGGTTATTTTTGATAGTTTTGTCAATATACATAGTTGCTTTTTAGGGAAGGGACATACTGACTTCCTTATGCTGTCATGTGAGAAGTGTCTGTTCTATACCACTACCATTTGGATTGGTACATTATATCTGTAGTGGGGTTGTCTCTCATTGTTAAGATGAGTGTGAGTGAACAGGAATTGTGATGGTAGGAAAAAAATCAAGGACAAGAACATGTAAAGATTAGTAAAATTTGGCTAATCATGTGCAAATTTTATTTTTTAAGTGAACCATGGTATGGTTTGCAGGGATGATTGCTCTATAAAAAGAATAGAGTGACTTTTGCAGAAAATTCTAACTGCTGTTGAAACATTTTGCTAGCCATTGGTGAGGCTGGCTAATTTGATAATCTCACTGGTGAAAATGAAGAAAATTAGAAAAAATAAATTGATGGTAGTTATTCAGAAAATAAAAAATTTGTTCTGTGCTTACCCTAAGTTTAGTTGTTTTAATGAACAAATATTTCTCAGTTTGCAGTTATTTGAAGTGCCAAAATGGTTGTTTTTAGAGTTACATGTGATCCAGCAGTCCCACTTTGGGAGTATATCCAGAGGAAACTCTGATTTGAAAAGATATATGCCCCTCAATGTTCATAGCAGCACTATTTACAGTGGCTAAGGCATGGAAGCAACCTAAATGTCCTTCAACAAATGAATGGATAAAGATGATGTGGTGTATATAATATACAATAAAAACTACTCAGCCATGAAAAAGAGTGAAATAATGCCATTTGTAGCAGCATGGATGTACCTAGAAATTATCATACTGAGTGAAATGTGTCAGACAGAGAAAGACAAATTATGGTATCACTTATACATGGAATCTAAAATATGATACAAGCAAACTTACTTACAAAACAGAAACAGACTCATAGCCGTAGAAAATAAACTTTTGGTTACCAAAAGGGAAAGGGATGCGGGAATAAATTAGGAACTTGTGATTAGCAGATACTAACTACTATGTAGAAAATAAACAATAAAGTTCCACTGTATAGCACAGGGAACTATATTCAATATCTTTTAATAACCTATAATATCCTAAAATGAAAGGAATATGAAAAAAATATATAATTGAATCACTGTACACCAGAAACAAACATAACATTGTAAACTGACTATATTTAAAAAAAAATAAAATTTAAAAGTGGTTATTTTTGATAGTTTTGTCAATATACATAGTTGCTTTTTAGGGAAGGGACATACTGACTTCCTTATGCTGTCATGTGAGAAGTGTCTGTTCTATACCACTACCATTTGGATTGGTACATTATATCTGTAGTGGGGTTGTCTCTCATTGTTAAGATGAGTGTGAGTGAACAGGAATTGTGATGGTAGGAAAAAAATCAAGGACAAGAACATGTAAAGATTAGTAAAATTTGGCTAATCATGTGCAAATTTTATTTTTTAAGTGAACCATGGTATGGTTTGCAGGGATGATTGCTCTATAAAAAGAATAGAGTGACTTTTGCAGAAAATTCTAACTGCTGTTGAAACATTTTGCTAGCCATTGGTGAGGCTGGCTAATTTGATAATCTCACTGGTGAAAATGAAGAAAATTAGAAAAAATAAATTGATGGTAGTTATTCAGTGGTGTTAACAGTAAATGAGTGAACTGCACATCTCTGCTTAGATGGTCATCATTGATTATGAACCCATGGAATATATTTCTTAAAACATGTTTTTATATGGGCTAGGTCTTGGAGGATAGGTAGGACTTTATAGTGCCCATCAAGAGACCTGGATCTCCTGCATTGCAGGTAGGTTCTTTACCGGCTGAGCCAGAAAGGAAGCCCCAAGACATACCACCTGTAGGTATATAGACTATAGAGGGCTTAAGGTGGAGCAGCAGGTGGGAACTTACCTGTAAAAGGTCTTGTATACCATGGTAAGTCATGTGAAGACTTATTTGTTAGTTTGTTATTTAAAAATATTTTTTTGATTTATAAATGACATACAGTAAACTACATCTTTAAAGAGTATAGTTTGGTAAGTTTTTACTATTAAGGGCATCTACTTCTTGAGTAATCTTTAGTAATTTCTATATCTTGAGGGATTTTTCCATTTCATTTCATCTAAGTTATTTGAATTTGTAGATATATAGCTCTATATCTTCATCTATATCTGAATCTATCAAAAGCAAATTCATTGATCTAAAATTCTGAAGTAATTTACTGGGTCCAAATTTCTGTTCCCATTGTTACAAGGGTATTTTCTCTAATATTCTTAGAAGATTCAATTAAATACAATATAAACTGTACAGGTACCCAGACTCCTAGGAATGTTTCATAAATAATGGCCCAAATATGAGCATGGAAAAATACTATTATTAGAACTCATGAAATGAGTTTTTATTTTCAGGGAGAAGTTGTTGAAGTTACCTTTGTAGGTGCTAACCCGAAGAATTCAGCAGAAAACCGGGTAAGCATTAATGATTCTTTTTACGAATTTAAGTCCACTTCTTTAGCCTTTCACTCTCGTATCCCTCTGAAGATTAAAAAATAAAGATAGAATGTTCTAGCTTGCTTTTCATCATATTTTATAGGTGTGAAAATTTTCAGGGGGAACAGTTAATGTAGAGTTGGGTCTAAAAAAATAGCCCCCAGGAAATATTTAATTGACTCTACTTAGGACCACATATAGCACAATGCATAGAGAACTACGCTGTCTCTTGAGATGATGTAGATTTGAATACAATTCCCATTTACGAATTCCAATTTTAAAACTCTACTGAATTTGGTAAAATAATCCAAGGGCCAGTGTGAAGTGCATCTTTGGTTCCTGTTGACCCTCTTTGGCTCCTCTCCTCTTCTGCACTCCTGACTCTGGTCCTGCTTCCAATTCTGTGGAATGATCATGGATCCCTGAGCGGACATTCTAATCACTGGAGCCCCGGCCCACATGCTTTCCTTTTCCTTGCACTGGCCATTTCCCTACTCTTTGCTACTGGCACTAATAGAGTGTTTATTTATTAATCTTGAAAAATGACAAATACAGATTCTCTGTAAAAACAGATAGTACAGAAGTTCTTAAAAAACTATGAAAGCACCTCTCTTTTCATGAACATTTTTAGATGCAATCACTGTTACCAATTTCTTACCTATCATTTCATATTTTTTGTCATATATCTGTATTTATGTATATGATAAAGTATATAATATATATGGATAAAATGAAGTAATTTTACTCCTCTGAAACTCCCTTGGAATGTTCTTGTAACTATACAAGCAATAATTAGATATGATCTATCTGTAAGGTTTCAAACAATAAAGAAATATATAGAGGAAAAAGAAAATGAGTCCATGAAAGTGATTTCAAGGTGAGATTTTTTCCTGTGGCAGAGAATGCATTCACTCTATGAAAGAGTCATTCCTCCCAGAGCCCATTGTTGCCTATAATCCAAAATGCATTTCTTTCAAGTGAGCCTTCCCATTTCTGTTTATTAAAATATGATGATTCCTTTGATAAAAGTTGTGACAATGTGACATTGTCAGATATAATATTTGGAAAGATTTTTCTATTGCTTGGATAGTCAACATGCACCTGTTTGAAATAATTTCTCTAGGTAGTCAAGTCATGCCAGAATATTCACATGTTTACAACATTCTTTTCTTTTTTTTTATAACATTATTTTCTAAAGATATTAAAGTGTTGTAGCAAGACTGCAGGATTAGCTGTCACCTGATATCCTTAGGGTGGAGAAATACTATCCTCATCATTGCCTGGTGAAGCAGGGGACTAAACTACTTAAAGAACTGTGAGAACAGAATTAATTCCTAAGGCTGTTTTGGGACTTGGCATAAAACAATTTCTGGTACCCTTTAGTATTAGTGATCATCACATCCTTACCACTATGTGTTGAATGCTTACCATGTGCAGGTACTAGGCTAAAGGCTTTACATACATCATCACATGAATCTATTTAATCCTCCCTACTACTCAGTGAGATACATTTTATTATCTTTGTTTTACAGATGAATAAAGTGAGACTGAGAGAAATTAAGTAACTTGCATGAACTAATTGTGGATCTAGAAGAGATTAAGGTTGGGAGGCGAGGAGAGGATGGTCACAGAGTTTGCACATTTGGCATCCTAGCTTTGTTCTTTGATCTGCACTCGAGACCTATACACTGGGGCCCTTCCTGTTTCCTTCTCCATTGAAGGCATTCCCAGTGTCACTCTGCCCTAAATGGCCATGAACAATTCTCTTTTCAAGTC